CCCTTTCTTTCTCCCTCCCTCCTCCCTTGTCCAAACTATTTTTAAGGAGATTGTACAAGCTTATACTATCAGTGTTCCATTGCTTCACATTCTTGCCAATATTTACTACTATTATTAGTATTTTTAAATTTTGCTATTCTGATGGGTATGCTGAGGCATTTTGTTGTTTTAATTTACTGATCAATAACTCTAATGAATGCAAGCACACACACACACACACACACACACACACACACACACACATATGGGATAATGGTTTATATTTAGATATCCCCCAAAGCCTCATTCTCTCATAGATGGGTCTTTTCAGAGGTGGCTGGATCTGGGATGCGTAAATAGGGATTAAGGATGTGTGATAACTGTATTAGTCTGCTCATTGGGTTAGCAGAGTGTTATGGTTAGGGTGAATAATGGAAAGGGTCACCCTGGGTGTGGGTGGCACCAACCAATAGGCTTGTATCCTGAATAGAATAAAAGGGAACCAGAGGCCCTGATGCTGCTGCTTCACTGCCTCCTGTCTGCCATTCTATGAATGGTTTCTCCTCTGCAAGGCCCCTCTGCCATGCTGCCTTGCCTTGGAGCCAGCTGATTATGAACTGAAACCTTTACACACTCTGAGCTAAAATAAACCTTTCCTCCTTTAATTTGTGGGTATTTTCTCCCAGCAGTGAGACAGTAACTAAGACATTGAATATTTTATTTTGTATAGGGAGGGCCTGATCAAGTTTTTCTTTTACTTTAATCTGATTCCACTAGATGCAAATAACCTTGAGAATGTAGTCTAGCTGTAGTGCACAGGAAAAGAAAATGAATTTTCTAAGCACTCTATAATATTGTCACCTAATATAAAACATTTCCTGTATTCCAAATTTGTTAATTTTTATTTCATAAAGGATGTGAATTTTTCTAATAATTTTCTTCATCTAGTGAAATTATCATAAAATTCTTCTCTTTGCAGTCAGGTATGATGCAGCCTTATTATTCTGGTAATTCTTGCTTGCAAAGTTGAGTTGACTTGGGCCTCTTGACTTCCATAGGGTTGTCTTTAATCTGCACTGAATGTGTGCTCTACTTTCAGGCTGACAAATAGACATTCTCTGGGTTTGAAAGAACAGAAAATAGAACAAATCTGTTTTTGTGGTTATGTAGCACTGTCTACATTTGGATAATGTGTATATAGATGTGCATTTTTTCCATTTCCTGGAAGGTCAGTCTTTTCTGTCCCTTTTCAGAGAGTGATTCACATAGATTCCTCAATCCATTCCTTCAACAAATATCACATGAATGGGTACCATTCTAATATTTAAAATACATTAGTGAAAGAGAACACACTCATAAAGTTTACATTTGGGGGACAGTGCACAAACAAGGAGGCATAATGAATAAAATATATAGTGTGCTAGAAAATGAAAGTATATGGAAATAAAAGAATTAGTCCAGTTAAGTAAGAGGGATGAGAATGCTGAAGCAATGAGTGGGTTTAATGGATACTTAAGTTTCTAATATTAAAAAATGTAGTTGGGATAGGTCTCATTGAGAAACTTGGATTTATCCAATGAATTCAAAGTTAGTTAAAATTTTACAAATTGATCTGTATACCTTATTGCAGCACTTCTCAAATGTGCATCCTGATACACTGTTGCTTAGTCTTGTTCACTTAAATTTATGGATGTTGTCTTTTTTAATCTACAAATCCTACCTCCCTCCATCCCTTTACTTTGTAATTTATCTGTTGAATAACCCAGAGGATTTGAGTCTTTCAGTCTCAGACTAGTGGTGAATCCTTGACCTTTTTGTTCTGCAGTTCCTTCCCCTTTTTGAGACCTTCTCAGATGAGCAGCTACTGGATCTTCTGATTGTCCAGAATGCAGACAGCCATTGTAGACTCTCCTGCTTCTGATTCTGTAAATCTATCTAAAACAGTCTACTGATTCTTTTCTTCTAGAACCCTAAACAATACACTAAGTAAACACTCTACCACTCAGCTACATTCCTAGCCCTTTTTCATTTTTAAGAGACAGTGTCAATAAGTTGCCCAGGCTAGCCTTAAACTTGGCAACCCTCCTGCCTCAGCCTCCTGATTACCCGGAATTGCAGGCATACATCACCATGTCTAGCCTTATTTTCAAGTCTTTTTTTTAGTAGATGGTGGGGTTTTTTTACATATTTGGGTTATAAATTCTTTATCAGATGTCTTTTGCAAATATTTTTCTTCCAGTCTCTGGCTTGTCTTTTCATTCTCTTATGGTGCCTTGCTCAGAGTGAAGTTTTAATTTTAATGAAGTCCAACTTTCAAAGTTTTCATCAGTGGACTATGATTTTAGTGTTGTATCTAAACATTCATAGACAAACCCAAGATCGCCTGGATTCTTTCCTATGTTGTAGTCTAGACATTTTGTAGTTTTGAATTTAACTTTTAGGTCTATGCCCAATTTTGAGTTAATTTTTGTGAAAGCACTAAGATCAGTGCACACATTTTTTGCATGTAGATATTCAGTTGTTCCAGTACATTTGTTGAAAAGACTCTTGTCCATTGAATTGCCTTTGTTCCTTTGTCAGATATCAACTGAATATATTTGTATGGATCCATCCCTGGGATATTTTGTTCTATTTATCTATCTATTCTTCATACCATAATGTCTTAATTACTGAATCTTTATAGTTAGCTTTTCTGGGTTTTTTATTTCCATATATAAACTTGAGAATCAGTTTGTCAATAGGTGCAAAACAACTTACTAGAATTTTGGGATTGGATTGAATTGTATCTATAGATGAAGTTAGGAAGAAATTGTATCTTCACAATATTGAGTGTTCTCATGAGTATGGAGTATCCATTTATTTAGCTTTCTGATTTTGCATCGAGTTTTGTAGTTTTCCTCATATGGATCTTGTACCAACTTTGTTAAATTTACCTAGCATTTTTGGAGCACTTATATAAATGTTATTGTAAATTTAAATTTTCAATTGTTTATTTCAGGCATCTAGGAAAGCAATTTGCTTCGTGTTTCTTGGTAAGGCTAGTTAGAATTCTATCACTTTGGGCTGGGGATTTAGCTCAGTGGTTTTGCGGCCTTCTGCGCAAGCGCAAGGACCTGAGTTTGATTCCTGGTACCAAAAAAAAAAAAAGAATTCTATCACTTTATTCATCTTAAAAGAGTCACCTTTTGGATTTGTTAAATTTTTCTATTGTTTTCCTATTTTCAATTTTATTGGTTTCTACACTAATTTTCATAATTACTTTTATTTCAACTACAAGCAGAAATAAAGTAATTGTGGCATCTAAAACATATTTTTTCACACGTATTTAATTATTTCTCTTAAACATTTCTTTTGTAAGGTTTGCTAATAAACTTTTAAGGAAAAAGAATGCTCAAATCTACTTAAGAGTTTATCTCAAATGAAATGTATAAATAATTAGCAAAATTCTTCATAACTTATAGAAATGTAGTTTATTTCATGCAAAGCTACATAATTTTCTATATTTTAACAACTAATCATATAAACATTTCAAAAGATTCATTACATCACAATAAATTACAATACTACAAAGAAACTGCATATCAACAAGTTTGTCAAAATCAAACTGAGAAACAATTATGCATAGATAAGGTCAAAAATGCTAACTTACTTCTAGGTAGCACTTTGCAGCTATTTACAAATACATATTTGAAGGTGTGGTGAGAATGTGCAGAGAAAAAGTTAAACCTACAACCCATTGGTCAGATAGGAAAACATTTGTCAGATCAGGTAATAATGGCTGATTAAAGATAAATTTGGCATCATGCACTAAAAATGAACATTGTTAACATTTTGTAAAACTATGATCAGCTGCACATTTGAAAAAAATTATCTTCTATTTCACCTCATCAACTGAATTAGAAGAAGGGAAAACAAGAAGCACTTTATTAATGCAACACAGAGGTTAGCCTTTTGGTATAAGTTGCTTGGGTTAAAAAAAGAAATATATATATATATACACACACACATATGATATAGGAGTGTTTCAAATTCATGTTAGACTACTGAACTTTAGAATATTTTTCCTAAGACCTGGTCAGAACTTATTTGAGGGCCAGGGATTTAGCTCAGTAGTGCCGCCACCTGCCTCGCAAGTGCAAGGTCCTGAGTTCCATCCTCCATACAAAAAAAAAAACTTATTTGAGAAAAAATTTAAAACTGTAAAAGCAATATAACAATTAGTTACAAAAAACAAAAAAATTAAATAGCAGGAAGTAATAACATCAATATTAGAGTTCTTTTGTATTTTTCAATGCTATAATTTATAAATATATATTAGAGTACAATAATTCAAAAGACAGGTCTACATAGTCTCTACCTTCTAAAATGAGAAAAATTCTTCTAGTTGGTTTCAAAATATGGACAAAAACAAATCCATTGGATTGCTTAAAAAAAAATACACAGTCTCTCCCCTACAACTTGGTGTAGTAGGCAGGGAAGATGTTAGCCAGCATTGTTTTGATAAATACAGCTCTGGGTAGGTTGACAAGACTTATTAATAATGTCAACTTTAAATGGTGTTGTACAGTTTAACAAATTATGACTTCACATATGTCTGCCATGGTAAGACGCTCTTTCTACTCTTTTGAACAGTAAAATTTTCCTTTTTCAAAATACTCTGAGATCAAGATAACCACAAAAGAAAAGGTTATCCTTGGGGGGAAAAGTTAATCAAAAACAAATAGATTTTAGGATACCTATGACAAGAGAAATGTACCAGTAGTCTTGCTTTATTAAGAAACGTAATAGCCAGATGCAAACCTCTAGTCCCAGCTACTCAAGAAGGTGAAGCAGAAGGGTCACTTGAACCCTTAAATTCAGACTAGCCTGGGCAAAATAAGGAGACCTTGTCAAGAAAAGAAAGGGGAGGGGAGAGGAAGGGAGTAAGCAGGGAGCTGAAGAAAGGAGGGGGCAGAAAGGGAGGGGAAAGCAAGAGAGGGGAAGGGAGGGAGAGGAAAGAAAGACTGATTTAAAAATTATAGCAAAGCCTCAGCTGACCTCAATGATCAAATCTTTGAAAATAAAAATAAAGTTTTAGTTAAACCAGGCATGGCATGGAAGGAATTAGAGGTAAGACATAGTCCCTGTCCAATGAGAAGGGGGTAGCTACTGGGGCTGATGACTCATAGGGTCTGGTCTCTAGGAGCTTGGAAAGGGTAACTTGGCCTGGTATCTCAAGTCTCTGGGGAGGAAAAAGTCACTGAGTTGAAAGCACACCTACACAGAGAGGTATTCATATTTCAGAAAACCTCCTGTAATCCTCTTATATTGTTTCAACACTCCTAAGGGAATTTTTAATAATATATTATTATTTATGAATTCCTTTTATGAAAAAAGGGGTCTCAAGGGTCTAAATGTTTGGGATATGTTTTTGTCCCTTTTGGGGGAATATATTTTTAAGGGAAAACATTACATTGAAATAATTATTTCATTGACGTGCCCTCCTTAGTGACCCAAGTAACAACATACTAACCCAGCATACTTCATTTACCTTCAGATGTGGTTTGGTTGTCTAGCACAATCTGTTTCACTACTTTACATTAAGTACATACATTACTACTATTACTAGTAGTGGGATTTATAGTCAGATGTAGTTCCTTTTGAATGTACTACCCATCAAAAACAACTGTACATGCAAAACAGAAGAAAAATCTATTAGCACTTTGAAAGCCATATGATAAAGAGAGGTCTCAGAAAGGAAGGCATAAGAAAGGAAGAAGTGACAAAAGCAGCAGAAAAGAAAGACAAAACCTTAAATCCATTTACTTCTTAACATTTAGTACAATCTAGTATAGTTTGAGTATGCTAAGGTTTCTCAGGAACATGTCTTTTAGTGCAAATATACTGTTATCCTTCTGATTTTCAGGCTTAGCCCACTCAAATCACAAGTATAAAATTTATCTTACTGAACAGTGTGCATTGTAATACAGAGAATGTATTTTTCCTTTACTATGGTAATCAATACGCCACCAAGAACATTCCTTAAAACTATTAAACATATTGAAAATGAAGTCTGCTATTGAACATAAATGAAATTCCTTCATTAACATGCTAAAACACACTTTTTAAAAGCATATAGGTTGACATTCCTACCCACATTTAACTTAGGTACATATTCTGCTTAAATTTCAGGATTGATAATTTAAATGAATAGTCGAGGCAAAAAACAAATCAAATAACAGCATTACTCTTCGAATTTTTGCATTGTTGAAATTCTGATCCAGTCTTTATAAAAGGAAAGGTAATCCTTTGATTTAGTTTCTTCCACTTTTGTAAAAAGAGGGCCTTTTGTACCATGAAATTATTCGAAAGCCCCTCTATTCATCTGGAAGAGAGCTAATTTTTAATAATTAGATATATATTTTATTTCTTAAGAATGTTTTTTAAGCTAGACATAGTGGCATTTGGGGAGGCTGAGATAGGTGGACTGTAAGTTCAAACCCAGCCCAGGCAACTTAGCAACTTGGTGAGATACTGTCTTAAAGGAAAAACATTTTTAAAGGGATGGGATGTATCTCAGTGCAAGGGCCCTAGGTTCAATCCTCAGTACTGAACCAAAAAAAAGTTTTTGACCAAAAATGTTCTATTGATTGTAAGTTATTTGTGTCATTAAAAAATTAACTAGCAATTTACAAGTGATTCATGAAATTTATAGGTCAGTATTACTTTCTGCAATGGTTATTCTGAATCACTAGCTTACTGAATTCCTTGCTTAACAACTATTTAGAAAAATAATTTAGAAAACTCTAATCAGATACTCATTATCATGTAAGAAAGAGATCAAAAAGTAATTACCAGAAATAGTCTTTAAGAAATGCGCTTTGCACATAAAGTATATGAATTTAGTAGTAATATTTTACAATTGATGTCATTACATGTTAATAAGCTTCTCAAAATAGAAAACTTTTTGTTTATATACAGTTTTTTACATAAGGTTTAACAAATATTAACTTAGTTCCCTAGAAATAAACTCTTAATCTTCAGGGGTTAAATCAATGCCTTTCAAACTCAAATTTATCCAGCAAAGTAACTTTCCTATGTAGTTGCATATAAAATTCTATAAGACAAACTGCTTTAAAATTTGAAGACTTGGGATCACAGAACTAACCAAAAATTATTTTGGAAATAACTCAAAAGTCAAAGGGAATCTATAATATCTGTAACATAAACATACATGTGCTTCAATTATTGTAACCATAAACAAATTAATACTAAAGGAAAGAGTAACATTCCTTTATACATCCTATCAATTTTCACCTATGGCACTATAAAAGTTAGTTATTAAAGTAACTGGAAAATCTCTTTCTTTTTCTGCTTTTTTTACAATAGCATCTAAGTTTCATGACAAAACTGGATGAGACACATTATTCTTAAGAAAAATATTCCAAAGTAAACCCAAATACTAGACCAATTACTAAAAAAGATTTTCACAGGACTTTTGATGAATTAATTCAGGAAGAGTTTTTGCTTTGAGAATTTGTAAGCTTCTCTGTGACCACAAGAAACTGGACCCCTTTCTGGAAAGATCATTTTCCCACCCAACACCTTCAGGTCCCCACTAGGGGACATAGCACGGGTGACCTTTCTTCTGTCTAAACTCCTACACATAAACCTCAGTTCAACTCCCTCACAATAGTTTTGCGAGGTGGATCAGTAGGGAAATAGCAAGTATCTTCTTCATTTTGCAAATGAGGAAACTGAGGCACTGAAAGGTTACATGGTTTGCCCAAAGTATTCAGAGTCAATCATGAAATTACAAACAATACTAAATTATCACTTCTCCTGGCCTATTGCTCTCTGACCAGACTTGGCAATAAAAGGCTATATGTGTGTCCTCAAATGAACAGGCTATATGATCTTCAAATGAGAATACATCTATCCATTAACAATTATTTTAAAGGGGATATAATCTCAAAGATCATTAAAACTCAAAGATCAAAAAACAGATAGGGGCTGTGGGTTTAGCTCAGTAGTAGTGCACTTGCTAGCATACGCAAGGTCTTGGATTTTATCTTCAGCACCACAACAACAACAACAAAAATATTTAGTACTTGCATAGAACTATGTTTTTAAAAATTTACATGATAACACTCGTTAAAGAGAAAGTAAAATTTTTAAATTTATGACTCAGAAAATTTTTCTTCAAGAAACATATAATCATATCATTAGGATAATCCTAGACTACATCTTCAAATGGAGATACTTGAAATGGAAAATGAGCACTAGTAATAATTACAGGGATAGTAAGTGTTAAACTGAGAATGAGCAGCAAGGTATAGTGGCTTACATTTGTAATCCCAGCATTCTTAGAGGCTGAAACAGGAGGATCACAAGTTCAAGCCCACTTCATGACTTCATGAGACTATCACAAAAAAAAACAAAACAAAACAAAACAAAACAAAACAAAACAAAACAAAACAAAACAAAACAGGGCCTGGGATGTAGCTCAGTTTGAAGGCCCGGAGTTCAATTCCCAGTACCACCAAGAAAGAAAAAATGAGAGGCAAGCTCTAGTATGGTCACCCAATGTAGCACTGATTCTACAATAGTTATCAATATTTTCAAAGCCACAAAAAACTGTAAGCATGTTGCATTTTGCCACGTTTACTGTACAGTAAAATACTGGTGCTTTAAAATGTAATACCTAACTGTGGCTTAAGCACAAAGATTAAAACAATCAAGTTGAAATAATAAGCACATTTAACCAACAAGTTATTATTATACATTTCTGTTCTCATACAGTTTTCTATTTTCTATAAAGCACAATTTGAGTAGTAAATAGACATGTTTTATCTTTGAATAGCCACATTTTCTTTTCAAAAAGTGTAAACAAGAACCTTTAAAAGGACAATTCTGCAGAACTCTTTGGCTATGAAAAAATCTATTTATCATTAATATTTAAGATTTTCCCTTGAATGGAATGATCAATACTTAAATCAATATGCTAAAAAAAAACAATATGCTAAATGCTGAAAGTGATTATTTCCCTCTGAAATGAAAATCTTTTTTAAAGCAATACCACAGCATTTTTTAAATCCAGTTACTAAAAAGATTGAAAAAATCTGATCATCATATACATGCTAAAGACATTAACACTATTAGTTGAAATATAATCCTAATTATTCATGCAAAATACCCCACAAATTTGCATACAGATTTGAAAAAGAACTTTTTACATTCAGATATGTCTAGTAAGTTTTGTTTTAAGACAGGGGTTTGTGAATATGGTTATTATTTGAGGTCTCCATTCGCTTATATTTCTTTGGGAAATATAGGTTGAACATATTTTTTAGAAACAGCAAAACTGTAAATCACAGTAATAAAATGTATGATATTTAGTATGACTTATGAACCTATGACTTATGAACTTCCTTGAACCTTTAAATAACTCTCCTGAAAAAAATTCACATGAAACTAAAGTATATGTTCTCAACATACACTGATCTTTATCATGAATGAAATCCTTCCACTGTAACTGTACTTAGAAGGCAGACACTTAGGGAATGGTGTGTAATAAATCTTATTAGAAAATAAAATACTGTTTAATAAACTAAGCTGTAATTAACTCATGGTGCCTTTTTTGTTATACTGACATTTTTATTGAGAGTAGGCAAGAAATTCTGGGGCACATAGATGTGCATAAAAACTGAACTGATGTGATGTGTTGACCTTGTTTAGTTGTTTCATAAACTTTTTGAGACTTTAGATATCTTCAAATATTATACTGGAAGACATTGAGAGATATCGTCCTCCAGGCTGATACCTAAAACGTAAACATAAAGAAATGATCTGAGGCATCAAAAATAATAGAGAGGACACCTTAAAAGGAAGTAACTACATAATTTGTAAGCTCTGTAAACATCAATCAGTAGCTAAAAGCAGAAACTTACCTTCCAACTATATTATCAAAAAGAACTTAATTATAAATCCACCAGCAATTCTTTTAGAGTCTATAACACATACATGACAGAGTAAGGGATATTTTTTTAAAATGGGGGTATGTAAGACATATCCAGGAAATTTAATCAGTTTAATAACCACTCTCAATTGCTGAATATAAATAGAAGATTCTAGGTTTTTCTTATAGGCAATAATACAGCAACATCTGCGTGCATCTGATATTTGCTTTTGTTTAATTATTTCCTTATAGCCTAGTTGCTAAAAGCACGGCCTTTGTATTAAGAATAGTGGAGTCTGAATGCTTGACTTGCCATTTAGAAGTACCTGTAGGCAAATTACCAAGCCTCTCTGGATATAAATCCAATTGGATTTGTAACCATAAAATAAAATATTGTTAAAGAACTTAGAAGTGTGTCTCCTGTCAAGATATAGTTATGCAGCTGTTTGTTAAATATAATAAACTTCATAAATAGAATTGCCAGAAATAGGCATATGTGTGTATATGTATACATATATATATAATTT